CTGGGTGTGTGTCCCTGCCTGAGGATGGCTGTGTAAGTACAGTACCTGACAGAGGTTTGTGGCTTAGCAACAGCAACACAGTGTAAAGGAAGCCCAGGTTGGATGGATAGAGGGCTCAATGGTACCTCAGTTCCAGGTTACACCCTGGGGAACCCATCACAGTGGTTTTGCTTTAAAAAAACCCTCTAATGCTATTTGCCTCAATATATCCTGTTTATATATGTTATTTCTCTTTTTAAATTTGATGCCTCTTAATTCACAGAGCATCCAGTTATTGTACTATGGTAATAGGAAAACAAGTGCACGACTGGACTTTTCATTCCACTCAATTTTAAATACCCCTTATGTTCTCTCATTTTCCAAACCAAATAATTCTAGTCTTAATTTTGCCTCATAAAAACTTCATTTCAACCCCAAACCTCTGCAGTTAACTTTTGTTGCTCTTACTTGGACTTCTTCTATTTCTGTTATTCCTTTTGGGAGATAACCAAAGCCTAAGAGCATTCAAGGCGAAGATCTACTATACCATCTTGTCATATTTACCATATCCTCTATTACTATCCTAATATAGCCTAACGTTGTATTTGCTTCTTTACGTTTCTTTCAGGACTACAAACTGAAGAGCCCTGTATGAATACTTGGTAATTAACTTGAGCATAATCCTTTTGTTACGTAGCTGATGACAATGATCTTCTATTTAATCCAAAGGATCACACAAAGAACTTACAAATTTAAATTGATACACAAATTGTACCAATTCAGAAATGAAGAACACCCACATACTACAGCTTACAGGAGTTATACATCAATCCTATGTGTGGGTCTAATCCCCTTGATGTATTTAGGTGTCTGACATAGAATAGTTGAGATTCTGCAGAATCTAAATTTCCTTTTAAAGAAAAGTTCCTAGCAGACAGTTACAAAATTAACTTCCTCAATATAAAATAAATGTAAACCAAAACAATGTTGTCTTCTTGAGGCTGCAGGCAGCCTCAAACAACAGCTCTGGTTGGTGTTAACTTGCCCACCCCCATTAACTTCACTGAGGTGAAAAAGCTAACGCCTAACAATGACAATTTGTGCGTCAAAATAATTAGTAATGAAATAGTTTTATATACAGGAGAAGAGTGAAGCCCATGGGGACTGGAGGAGAAAAAACTGGGAACAGATGCAAGATAGAAAATGAAGAAATGCAGAAGAAAGGGGAAGACAAAGAGGAAAGAAAAACAAAAAAGAAGGAAGATTAAAGGGCACGGAATAGGAACTAGGGAAGAAATAGCAATGATCCATAATTTCAAAATGCTCAATGTACCCTGCTAGATTGTACATAAAAGCCATATTTTAATCTTGATCTTCATGCAGATCTCCCATTGGCATTTGGTGGAGAAGTTAAGTACTGTAATACAAGAAGTGATAAAAGATAAAGGGAAAAAAGTTTAAATTCTGGCAAAGGAATAGGAGCAAATGAGACCCGGAGGAATAGATGTTTGTAAAGAAAATGGCTAGGAATGTAATTGGAAAAGTACGGGTCTTCAAGGAACTTTACACAAGAACAAAGAAAAGGGGGAAGTGTGCAGACTGGTGAACGCATATGACAGAAGACATAAAGGAGGTGAGATTCAAAGATGAAACTGGTGGGTGTTGATTGATAGTCGCACAAAGGATCTATGAAAAAAAGGTATCTGAACAGCTTTTAAATGAAGAAAACCCAAGAGAGCAATGCAACTTTAAAATGATGAATTTTGATGCAGAAGAGCCTAATCACACCAGATGAAATGGCAAATGCTATAAAAGCAATGAAAAATAATAAGGGCATAGACCAAGACAGAATCCCCATTGAGGCATGGAAAAAGCTTGGAATAGAGGGCGTCCATCTGCTGACATCCCCATTCATTTTAATCATAAGATGGGGAAAGATACCAAATCCATGGAGGAAAACTATCTTGATGTCAATATAGAAAGGAAAAGGTAATGCTGGCAACCATACAAAGTATAGATGTATGAACCTGATGAATTATACAACAAAACAGAGAGTCTTCAATAAGACTAAGAAATGAAGATATTAGTGCAGATCAATATGGCTTCTTGCCAGGACGGTCAACAATGGATGCTGTCTTTGCATTGAGGCAGCTATTGTAAAAATGTAGATAAAAGGATAAAAACATTCACATGGTGTTCTCAGGGTGCTGGACCTGGGGGTGTGGCAACATGCTCTGGGCTAGAAGTAGTTTCCATCATATAGAGGGGTTTTCAGTTTTGTTCAATGGCTTTCAGCACCCCCACTATAAAAATTGTTCTAACACCACTGGTGTTCATCTGGAAAAGGCCTTTGAAAAGCGTGCCAAGGGAAGACACCCAGTGGGGTATGAGGGAAAAACGTTACCAGATTATGATGCGTGGCTTGTTCAAGTCACGTATGTAGGTGCAATGTCAATAATCAGAACTTCTAGTGGTGAAATACAAACTATTGGTAAAGGTGGGAGTGCATCAGGGATCAGCACTGAGCCCTTTCTTGATTACTGTCATCCTGGATACCCTCAAGGAACATACAAAATTGTTTGCAGATGGTATCATTCTATACAGCGAGGAGAAAGTCAGTCCAGAAAAGGATCTTGATAGATCAGTGGTTCTCAAACTTTTGTATTGGTGACCCCTTTCACACAGCAAGTCTGTGAGAGTGTGACCCCCTTATAAATTAAAAACACATTTTTTATATTTTTCTGGAGGAGAAGGGGGATTTAGGAGTGGAGGCTGACAGCTCATGACTCCCCACATAGTAACTTCATGACCCCCTGGGGGTCACAACCTCCAGTTTGAGTACCCCTGTGATAAATGGAGAGATGTGTTAGAGGGTTCAAAATAAGCAGAGGATAAACAGTATATGGTATATAGTTTCAATAAATGTGAATATTGAAGAATTATTCTTGAAACGACAATACAAATGCTGTAAAGTTTCAGTATATGGGTTCCAGAATCCAGAAAAATGTTGGACAAAATGAGAGCTAGGATAATAAATGCCTGTCTCAAATGGAGAGAGGTAAGTGGTGTAGTATGTGACAGGAATATACCAGTAAGTTTAAAAGGGAGTCTATAAAATGGTAGGTTTCAGAGTAGCAGCCGTGTTAGTCTGTATTCGCAAAAAGAAAAGGAGTACAAGTGGCACCTTAGAGATTAACCACTTTGAGCATAAGCTTTTGTGAGCTACAGTTCACTTCATCGGATGCATTCAGTGGAAAATACAGTGAGGAGATTTATATACACACAGAACATGAAAAAATGGGTGTTATCATACACACTGTAAGGAGAGAGATCACTTAAGATGAGCTATTACCAGCAGGAGAGCACAGGGGACGGGGACCTTTTATAGTGATAATCAAGGTGGGCCATTTCCAGCAGTTATCAGGAACGTCAGAGGAACGGTGGGGGGGGGGGGGGGGGAAATAAACATGGGGAAATAGTTTTACTTTGTGTAATGACACATCCACTCCCAGTCTCTATTCAAGCCTAAGTTAATTGTATCCAGTTTACAAATTAATTCCAATTCAGCAGTCTCTCATTGGAGTCTGTTTTTGAAGTCTTTTTGTTGTAATATTGCGACCTTTAGGTCTGTAATCAAGTGACCAGAGAGATTGAAGCGTTCTCCGACTGGTTTATGAATGTTACTTATGCTCAAATAAATTGGTTAGTCTCTAAGGTGCCACTAGTACTCCTTTTCTTTTTATAAAATGGTGGTCCATCCAGTTTTGATGTATGGCACTGAGCGTTAGGCAACAAAGAAGAAACGTGCAAATTATCTGTTCCACAGAAAGGAAAATGTTGAGATGGATGAGTGGTGTAAGCAAAAAAAGTTCACCTGAGGAATGTGTATGTCAGATATGCTCAAGGTAACACCCATAAGTGAAAAAAGTGAGGGAATGTAGGCTCAGTTGATCTGATTGCATGAGACACAGTACTGACAACTATGTAGGTAAGAAAGTCCAACAGATCAAAATTGAAGGAAAAAGAGACCAATCAAAGAAGAAAAGGCAGGATGTCATAAGGAAGGCAAGTTAGCATGTGGAGTGAGAGATAATATGGCATTAAACAGAGCACTCTGGAAGGAAAGGACTCTTGGAGTGAACCCCATTTGATGGGATTAACGCAAGAAAGAAGATACTGGTTTCACTGAAATACAGTTTAAAAATAGTCTTTTTGCAATCATGTTGGACCAGAAACTGTAAATTGAGTGGTGAAAGGGAAGGACTAACCTAAGAATCTAAATGTCCAAACACAAAGCAAGAATTGTCAAGAATTGCTTTTAACCCCATCACGCAATTTTATATATTCATATCAAGAATCCTAAACTCCAACCTTTTAAAATTCTTGACTTAAGACTTCAATATAGGTCTAAAGATTTTGTGCGAGTTCTGCCAGTCCTCCACAGCAATAGTAAACAAAGTGCAAAGCCCTATTTAAAATTTATTAGCTAATAACACAGCTGCAGCAAAATGCTCAGCTAAATATAATCCAGAGTCAAGATTCCACATTGGCACTTACTGCTCCATTCCAGCCTGGCGTCAAAGCTGTTTGCCTGCTTTCATCAGGACAAAGATTTACAGCCAAAGAAATTAAGAGGCTGGAAGAAGCAACTTGGAACTGTGGCTCACTACTTTCTGAAAGAAAGTTTTAGAAACCCAGAAGTAATCTTCCACATCCTTCCTTCATATTGATTAAATGAAATGCAGTGTACTATATTTTTAATCTGCATCAATATACATGAAGATGGTTTATAAAAATGTGTATTCAAGGAGTTCAACAAACAGATACGTTTTTAATGTGTGTGTGGGGGGGGCAGCTTAAAGTAAACATTCACAAAGATTTTTCCACAGTCTGAACCTACAGGGTCAAAACAATTACCACATTCTTGAAGAAAATAATTAACTGCTATGCATATCAGGGTTAAAGAAGTGTTTATTTAAAAAGAAGTATTTTGGAGATGATTGTGTGTTGTGGGTGGGAAATACAGAAGATTTAAGGACTCTCAGGAACTCTGATTCTCCCATAGGGCTTTCAGATACCATAGATGGGAACAGAGCTACCACCAGGAAGGGCAGCAACAAACAGCCCAGATGTCCTCAACGACAGAGCCTCAGCTGCTACAGAGAATGGGGAGTAAGTAGCAAGGGTGAGACACAAGACACAGCTCTTCCTGCTCCCTTTTCAACTGCCCCTGGGAACCATCTATCCAGGGTCTGATCTCACCCATTCTCTCCACAGAAGACCAGGCAGAGGACATTCTCTGGCATTTCTCTTTCCTCCCAGTGCAGTCCATAGATGTGCCCTCAGGAAAGGTTCGGAAGCACAGATGGAATCTGGCTAGTCCCTCTAAGTTTCTTCCCAGATTCTATCCCTCCTTCAGGGGTAAGAGAAAGAATCCCACCAATCTTACACCCTGAAAGCATTTTTTAGACAATGTTTCTGTTCCCTATTACTGTCTGCACGATTTCAAAGAGCTGCCCTGACGAGGTGGCCAGAAGTTAACAGTGGCCACAAAGGGAGTAGGTCAAAGCGTTCAGGCTTCCGTCTCCTGAGACAGTAGAACAAGTGCCCTGCCCCTACTCCCCTGTCCACCTTTAGCAACAACTCTTGCACTTGTCTGAAATGTTGTTTGTTCCCCCCCCATCATACCTTCCAATCCATACAGACTGATCTCCGGGGGAGATGTTATGCAACCACTATCAGGAGTGGGGTTGCTGTATGCACCTGTAGTGTGGTGTAGGAAAAAGAGCACTTGTTTCAGGGTGTCCAGGGGGGCCTTCTGCCCCAAGAGACCCTGAGGGTTTTTCACCTTCCTCTGCAGCATGGGGCATGGGTCATTTTCAGGTTTAAATGAGTGTAAATGGTGGGCTTGCTGTAACTTGTACTTTTTATGTTATGATTTGAGGATTTTAGTAACTCAGCCAGAGGTTATGGGTCTATTATAGGGAGTGGGTAGGGGAAGTTCAGTGGCCTGCAATGTGCAGGAGGTCAGACTAGATGATCATGATAGTCCCTTTTGTCCTCAAAGTCTATGAGTTTAACAGACCCATTGTTCCTCTAGGGGGTCCTCCCGCTACTAATGTTAAAGGACTAGAGTGCTTAGAGAGCATTTAATGCCTTGGATAACTCAGCTGTTCCATGGCCCCCTTCTGTTCTGGCTCGAAACTTGATCCTTACCACTCTCCTCCCAATCACCCCAACCAAAAGAGTTGTTCCATGGCTGGGAGAGCCCAAACAGCTACTTCAGCCCACAGCAACTTTGTTCATGCACTTGGGGAAAGCTCCATAGAAAGAGCTGATCCCAAGAAAGTGTCCCAACGGTGAGAGAGAGGGAGGGAAGTGACATTATCTAGGCGTTCAGATGCCCCCAGCAAGATTTCCACACAAGTTTGTGGAGAGAAACACAAAGGAGGATAGGAAGTCCCCAAAAACCCTTCAAGGTGGGTGGCGTGGAGGTCTTGGAGAATCCACAATATGAGTGGGAGAAACAGAAAGGTAGGTAACCATTTTTTCCAACTGTTGTTCTTCAGTATAGCCACGTCCATTCCTCTGTAGGTGTGTGCTCACCTTGTGTACAGTTATCAGAGAACTTTTTCCATCACTGGCACCTATTGGGGTGGCTTGAGTGCCCTGTTTTCTCACATCACTACGTGTTGGTGTAAGAGGGTGGCTCCACCCCAAAAATCTTTCAGTTCCTTCATACGGGAGAGACTCCGACAGAGGGAAGGAAGGCAGGTCATGCAATGGACACATGTAAGAACAGTTACAGCAAGGTAAGTAACCATCTTTTCTTTGAGTGCTTCATATGTTCCACTCACAAACAGACAGATAAGGAGATGGTCTTAGAGAGTCTACCTGAACAGTGATTGAAGGACAACCTATCCAAAACTGGCATCCACCCAGAACTGATGGGCAATGGCATAATGAGACATAAAAGTATGAACTAATGACCAAGTCGCTGCTTTGCAAATGTCCAATAATCCCTGTCCTCTCTCCTTGGCAGGTCTTGAGACTGGAAAACCCTGGTGTCTGTATGGCTATTGAGAATGGAACGGTTTCCTCTTGTCGCTGGAGTATAGATTCTGAGAGATTTTAGTATTGTCCTTGTATCTTTTGGACTTTGGAGCCTATCTTCCGTTTTATTCAAAACGGAAAGAGGGACATTCAAAAGGGAGGTCCTGGATGATCTTCTGGACTTCTGCGGGGAGCCCAGAGCACTGTAACCACAAACATCTTCTCATGGTAATAGCTGATGCCATAGTTCGAGCCACCGCATCTGCATCATCTATGTTGCCCGAAGAACCATTCTGGCAACCAGCTTGCACTCATCCATAATTACTGCAAACTCCTACTTACAACCCTTAGGCAGCTTGTCTTTAAATTTTATAACTATTTCCCAGAGGATGAAATCCTAGTGGCTTGGGAGTGTGTGTTGGTTTGCAATCATGAGCTGCATCCTCCCTGTAGAATAAAGCTTATGCTTGAACAAGTACAGCCTCTTCACTTATTTGCCTTTTGGAATCTATATTTGGTGACTTTGTCTCTCCCATTCATTAGCAGCTGCTACCACCAAGGAATCCAAGAGAGGGAATAAAATATTAATATCCCTTAGATGTAGTACCTCTTTTCAGTTCAATTTGCTGCAGGAGGTAAGGAGGACGGCATATGCCAGAGTGCCTTGCCTCACTCCATAATGGCTTCATTAATTGGCAGAGCCACCCTGGCAGGGACCACCAATATCAGGATGTCCACCAACTTGTGGGAGCTTTCACACACCATCTCTGCCTGAATATCAAGAAAAGAGGCCACCCTTCTCAAACAACCTTGATGAGCTCAGTGGTATTCTAGTGGTATTGAATCGCTTACTGCATCAACTGCTTTGTCTGGTGACAAGAAAGAGGACGCCACAGGATTCTGAGGTGGTAGCTACTCCATGATTTGCAGTTGGGAAGCGGCCTGAGGTGGTTCTGGGTGCTCAGTACCAATGTTGGTACTGGGTATCAGAGAATAATGTTCTCAGTGATGATATCCTCAGAGAGGTCTCTATGACCCAGAATGAGATGACTGTAGGGAAGACCTAGCAGGAGGGAGAAACTCCCCATGGTGTCCAGAATGACAACTGATATGGGCCTGGGACCCAATCTTAACTGGGCTATGGTTACTTGGAAGGAGGAGCAGGCCAGTGTTAAGACAGCTGCACTGCCCACGGTTCTCAAGTCTCTGATGGAGGGTATGTCCTCTGCCTTGAATGGGACAGAGACAAATGTACCACTGAATCTGAAGATAAAAGAGTCTGAACCATCTGACATGCGGGGGGGGGGGGGGGTGATGCAGAGCTACTCAGTACTAGGGACTGGTACCCTGAGCCTGGGAAAGGAGGTACCAGGGAAATCATTGGAGGCTTGCACATACAGAGGCTTGGTACCATGAATTCCTGACACACTGTGGTAATAGCCACAGGCATCAGTACCAATTTTGAACCTTCTTGCACTGCCAGAGATACCAGTACCGAGTACTGCATAGTTCTCTCCCAGCTGCATATGCCTCTGCAGTGGTCAGCAGCAGCGGCTGATGACTGTCTCAGAGAGCTTTCAGGGGACACCCTCAACAGACCTGGCACATGCTCCAGAGGTAGCTATTGCTTCTATTTAGCTGAAGATTGCTCCACTGAAAGACTCTTCCCAACATGTTTCTTAGAGTCTCTGCCTTTACTAGGCTCAGGCACTGACACGACTAAGCACAGTACTAAATCTGAGGAAAGTCTAAGCCTTTTCTTTGGTACAGGACTGAGGAGCCACAGACATTTCTGGTGCACTTCACACCAAGGCTATGGTAATCTGAGAACTGTGTGCGCAGTGATTTCGAGAGGGCTGAAGTGGTGCTTTCATGAGTAGATACTTGAATGTCACTATTCTGTCCTTCTTTAAGTGAGGCTTAAATCCCTTGCAGATGTGACATTTGTTACTACTATGGAATTTTCCCAAGTACTTTAAGCAGGATAAGTACGGGTCACTGACCGGCATGGGATTAGTGCAAGTGTGGCAGGACTTAAACCCTGGTGAGTGTGGCATCATTCTGGCACCAAGCCTGGTACTCAGAAGCTTTGTCCAAAAAAATTAAGACTAAAATCTATCCGTACGAACTAGCTAAAAACTAACTAATTCCTAACAATTAGAGGGTATATATACAAAAAGACTGAGGGAAGCACTTATTATAATTAGTCTAAGATTGCTCTAACAACTATCACTGGCAGTGAGAAAGGAACTGAGGGAGGCTGGGTGTGGCACCACCCTCTTATTTCAGCATACAGTGGCATGAGGTGACAGAGGGAGTTCAAGCCACCCCAAAGGGTACAACTGAGGGAAAATGTTCTGATTACTGTGCACGAGGCAACCACACCCCTACAGTGGAATGGACATATGCAAATGCAATGGACATATCAATGGACATATCAAAGAGGTAGGTGTGGAAACTCCCTGGAAGTTCCTGTGTGAGGATGGAGATGGGAGTAGATTAGGTGGAGCTGTACACCCTTGCAAGTATATGGTTATGGATAAGTGTAGCAGGTTAGGCCACCTATGGAGGAAGGAGGGTGAAAAGACTTCTAGTTAGCTCTTATAGGGGAAGAAAGGAAAAAAAAAAAAAGAGTAGAGAACCTAATAGTGACTGAAAGGGAAAACCTCCAAATAGTCTGCACGTGGAGGGAAGAGGGCAGAAGGCCCCAGTTAGTTTCTATGTTGGAAGACAGAGGGGCTGAAGGTCCAACTAAATCCTAGTGGAGAAGAGAGGGGCATTTGTGAAAGACCCCATGCCCCCCCTTTAAGATGAGGATATAGACAAAGAGAAAGACAACTCCTCACTTGGCTTCCTAGGACTTTCACAGATCATCTCTGATCCCCCCATGCTGCCAATCAACACCATGGACTCATTTTCTGCCTACCTGTCAAGATAGAGAACATCACAACACAGCCACTGTCTTGGACAGACTTATTACCTCATTAAGGCAGTGGTCAGACACATTGCAGAACAGAGGAAGCAAGAAAGATCTATGAACCTGATTCAACCAGAAAGACTCACTTTCAAAATCTTCACACCAATCTTAATATATTAAGTTAATGTAGGAGTTTGTGCCATATGAAATAACGAGATGAAAAACAGCAGACAGGAAGCCTGTCTAGTCTAACTATAGGTATTTGAACTTCATACATTTACTAATACTGGATCAACAACAAGCTGAATACAAGATTTAGAATTTGCCCTTTTGCTTCAAACTTTTTAAAAAGTTATGAACAGTTTAACAAATTTCATATGCAGAATCCAGACATTCACATTAAAAAAAAATCCATACTATCCTTGTTCCACATATCTTTAGTTGTAATTCAAAACTAACATACAGTTGTCTAGACAATTATATAGTAATCAAGATCTTCTGGTTGTTATCACTATACCATTTTACTGTTGAAAATGCTGGTCCACAGAACTAGTATAGAAAGGAACAGGACAGTAATTAGTCACACAACCATTAAGGCATTAAGAGGGTTGTTTGCTGCAAAAATAACCTCCCCATCTCTCAGATAGGATAATATAGCCACAGAAAACAAAAGCACATTGCCTGAACTGTGATATTGTGGTTTGACAGAGGCACAAGCAAGTATGAAGGGGAAACAGCCTCCCCCACTCTGTGCCAAACTGAGTAAGTTCTAGAATTTGACAAATTAAAAGCCTCCAAAGAGGTTCATCTGCCATACAGTCTCAGCACTATTCATTACTAGCTCAAAATAAAAAGCAAGAGTTTGGCAGAATGTGTGTTTAAAGGAATATTTATGATCAAACATTGCAATAATGTGAATATTTATGCACATAACTAACACAAATTGGCAAAGATTTATTTTTAGAAGTGGACTACTGTTTATTAAAGTATTTATATTGTACTACTGGAAGATGATCTGCAAAGCAGTTAAAAATTGGTTTGTGACTTTAAGAGGACAACAAAATCGTGTTCTTATCTCCCCTTTCTACTACTAAAAGGAGAAGGAAAGTTCTGCTTGCTCTTTAAATTAGAAATTCAGGTCTTGTCTATCTTGAAAGACTATGGATCAGTGGGAAACTGGTAATGGAACACTACAGTACTAAGGAAGTAAAATTTAAATTGTGAATTGTTGTATGGATAGTAAAGAACAATATGACTGATGTCCCTAGCACTCATAGTATGATTGTGCTTTGAGCTCTTCTTCCCCCTGTCCAATCAAACCAATTCCAGGAATACCACATTTATTGCATTGGCTGCTTACTAGTTTATGGGGAAATCTAAGGGGTGAGTTTTGAACAATAAAGCTCTCAATGTTTTGGGACCTGCCTAACTGAGAAGCCCGGTCTCTTCTCAGGTGATACTGAAATCAGTAGAGGTACTTGAGCTGGAGCTCCCTTGGTATGAGAGAGGCAGAGTTGTTGGGAGGGTATTCTCAATGAGGTCCCTTCAACTGAGATTAACTCCTCTAGGTCTAAATTTAGCCTACAGGTGTTGACCTTTAGAACTCACTATAAAACTCATATTTGGGCAGGAATATGGGGATGGTTGAGGGTGGGGGTTATGGGAGATGAAATGGGAAGAAGTTTTAGATTTGAAGATTGGCACCCTTTATAGAGTAAACAGTTATCTACTCCTGGGGGCATTCTGTGCCAAAAGTTTAAAAATTCTGAATACAATATTTTTAAATTCTGCAAATTTTATTTGTTAAAATAACACTACATAATCACGCCAGTTTCAATTATTTTGGTAATTCATTTCAAAATACCTGTCAGAAAGTATGTCTATAACAATAGAGAGACACACAAAAATCCCCTCAATAGTGGAGAGTTAAAGAAACTCCTATGTCAACCCAGTCCCTGTTTCTCTGCTCCCTTTCCCCACCTCCAGAGCCCAGCCAGGGAGCCAGACACTCACAACCCCTCCCCCCAGAGCCCAGCTGCAGGGACCCTCCCTTGCCCAGACACCTGCCCCCTCCCCCTCCAGAGCCCAGGGATCCAGAGGGAGAAACAGCTTGATGCTCAGCCCCAGGCTTGCACGTAGTTTCCTGTGTGCCGGCCTTTCCTTCCCTGAGGGTATGCTGGGAACTGCAGCTGCCAGGAACCTGGCTTTGCTGGGTCCAGCAGCCCGTAGTGGTGGCTAGCAGCACTGCAGCCCATTTCTGTAGGGGAAAAGAAATTCTGCATCCACATTAACTTCTGCAAAATTCTGCATTGCGCAGTGGTGCAGAATTCCCCCAGGAGTAATGTCATGATGTATATGCAAGCTGTGCATTGGCTTGTTAGTATTTTTATTTAAGACAATTAATAGTATCTAGTTGTCTAGGATGCCACGGGCATATGATAGGAATTTATTTATATGTTTTAATGAAACTGGTCAATATGATTTACATTTTTAGTAAGAATTTGACTCAGTCTACCAC